TAAAGTTTCCTTTTCCAATATAAACCACCAGCTTCTGGTGTAGTTTTATCGATCGGTTTCACTTACGGCCCACTTGAACTACTGACTTTAGAGGCACTAACTCAAATGATTGAAGACCTCCTTTCGGAAAAGTGCGAACTGCTCAAATTGAGAGTAACAGCTTTCAGCGACTGCCTGGTAGACTACATTTTAACCTTTGACCTTTATTTGCGTAAACTTGAAAGCTCTGCAATCTGCATGTCGGATGATTCTCACCCTCAGATCTTTAACAAATAGACAAATCCATCTGTGCGTCACTCCACGTGTTTTTTTTGTCGACTTTTTTTCGAGAAGCATCTCGTGTTCCAGATTGAGCATTAAGTTTGGATCTGCTGTCATTAGCTGAAACATAAGATAGCAAATTTTAAAGTCGAACATGATAAGAGGCTTAGCGCCCCACGCTCCATGCTTGGCAAATCTGCAATTGCCAGATGATATAGAGACATCATCATTTACCATGAAAACACTAGACTGCATGTTGCTCAGTCGACACTGCAAAAGCGTAGGTGGTCAAAACGGAAAATCCTCCGGTACCCAATGCTTTTCCTTGACCTTGCTTCTTCATACTTTCACATGTTTTATTCACTGAAAAATAACCTGAATAGGCAAAAATGCGACTCAGTGGATAGGAGTCAAGAAGTACCTTGGGTATTTCGTTGTTGATAAGCCATACCGTTTCTAAGCAGAACTTGTCAAACGTTGAGACACGATCACATATATTACTGTATCGTCCTCTCGATCAAATAGCCCTGTTCCCAAGTTATGATATTTGACCTTATGCATAATAAACCAATATTTTCTATAGTCAGTATTTTATTAAAAGGAAACCATGCACAAAAATTCCAAATAAATTTATTCCTTCCTTCAAAATCTATCTATGGTCAGCTGCATTTGCTTCTCACCTTTCTGAATCGGATTTAAAACTCAGTTCAACTAAACTCATTTGTGTTATAACAGTGCAACTTTTCATTTGTAAACATCCAAACAATTCACTCTGTGGTTAAGTTAATGATGCAACGCTCGTTGGGGACGTGCCGCGAGGACGCAATCGCCACGCTGACCAACGTCCCAATTAGGTCATGTCGGAAGCATAAACCTCGGATGTCTACCACCACGCTTGATTCTCCCATTTTGTCTAAAGGCTAACAGTATTTACGTTTGGCTCAAAGTTTTGATGCAATAACCAACGCGGGTTTTCCAGCCTTCGGACCTTTTAGCGCGTCACAAGGGCGTGAACGTTTTTTATCGAGAGATTAATGCGCGGATGAGCTGTGAATAGGATGGTGGGAAACAGGGTCATGCTGATAAAGAGGCGTTGTAAACTGACTGTGTATCAATTAGTATTAAACTACCAGAAGTCAAAAGACGATGCTGTCAGTGCACTTGTTAATGTTAGTTTACCATCCTTGACAGAAGTCTATTTTCTGCTTGGAAGCTGGCTTATGCTCTGCAACTGGATCCACGCCTGATGGAATGTGATGTTTCGTTATGCTTCGCGATTGTGACCCTTGTGAAATGACTGCACATGTCCTACGTGCCCCTGCTTGCATTTGATGTGTGGGAGTCAGGCAAGACACCTTCTTCCGCTTGGGTTAGAGTTCGGTCATGTATCTAGCAGACGCCTTTCGTCTCGAGAGCACTGTCATAGGCAGCTCTTCTTGCTGCAAACCGCCTCCCTTGAATGGCGCCTAGTGATCGTGCACAGATTATCGACAACCCAGTGGATTTGGAGCAGTAGCTTTAGTTGACTGTGAACCTGCTGATTTTGATGTTTGTGATTGGTGGGAGTTCGGAACTAGGCTAGTTTATTTCGCGTTCCTTTGTGGTTGAAAATTCTTACTTGTCTAAAAGGAAACGATATTGAATGGAACATATGGACAAAATGATGGGAGCATTGACACGCGTCTCCTCACTCACGTCAATGGCTCGAACTTCGTACTAGCTAAAAGGAGGCCAATTATTCTTAAATTTTGCCAGTTTTGTGTAGAGAATAACGGAGGATGTTGATCGTGCCTAAATGCTTTTACTGGTTCCGAGAAGTCTCTAGGCACTTTTTCCTAATCCGTGATCGTCTGTACCCAAAAAAATTGTGCCAACTGAGCTCCAATCACGAACCATCTTGCGCGGATGTTAAATATCCATTTATCGTCATTTTAATCAGATTTGTACCGCTGTCTTCCATACCTTGCTATCCATGCGTCGCTTGTTGGGGTTTGCATACTCGAAGAAGTTGGTTGGAGGTGTGCGTTGTATTGTGTAAACCAAAAGGCGCACAGACACATTCAAATGGGCTTTAAGTTATCTTAATGTCTTTCTGCGGTATATCTACTTGCCAGATCCGAGTCTGTGCAATATACTTATTCGATAGTAAATATCAAAGCTTTTTTGTTGGTTGATAAACAGTCATAAGGGTTTTAATTGCGGATAGCGGTTTGATATTGTAGCTATAAATGATTTATCACTTAGAAGTCATTTGGAATGCATGATACCTATGAACAAGTCCCAGCCACGGAGCGTGTTCAAACTAGCAGACCCGGGCCTTGACGGGGCGACCGTTGGATTTGTTCGCTTACTGTTATGCCGGTATGTTGAGTTGACCTAAGCGTGAAATCTTAGCGTAACCAATCATAACGAAAGAGGTGGTAAGTCATATATATGTGAGATTTTGTGTAAGGGAACATAGTCAACCGACGCTTCGTTGTAGTGGCAATTGGAGTCGCTAACCGAGATTGAGAACTGGAAATTTATGCTCATATTCAATGGTGTTTTTTTTACAATTTCCCGAGTGCGAAATAGTACACAGCATTACGTTAAGACGGACTATTGACTCCAATGTCTGAATTTACAAAAGTTCCCTTTTGGTGTTTTTCCATCAAGCTGAAGTCACTGATTTGTTGATGCATGTGACTCTAAGTACTACGTGCAGTGCTAGTGGGAAGGTGGTTTTCTGCGCAGGAAATTTCTGCCTGGCAAGCCTCTAGAGGAACTTGAGTTATTTGGAATACAATAGTGAGTCCAAAGTCTAGGTCCTCCGACTACAATGTTCGGGATCTGCAAACCTGCAAAAAATCAATAAGAACGTTAGTGGTGTTGGAAACCCAGTATTTGTGGGTTGGAATGTGTAACTTTTTCTGGTGAACATTTGAGAAGAAACCATCTCTAGAATTCCCTTTTAGTGATCGGTTTCAGCCGACTGACGCATTCTCCTCGACTTGCATTGAATGTGTCACGTAGATGTAGTTCCGGATTTATAACAGTTTGGTTTCAACGTCAATCGATGCGTGAAGCAAATTTACCGTAGTTCGCAGCAGTTTAACTGAAATTGCTTCTTATAAATTCCAGCAATTACTGTGCACACTTGTGCTTTATTCTTAGCTGCGGCGTTGACATTCTGTAGTTCTGCTGCCTTTTTTAAGATCCAAAACCACAATTAAATGCTGAGTTGAATTGCCCGGTTATGTGTTGGTGCGTGTGTGGTGGGTAGGTACGTTTTATGTAGGGGTACAAGTGCACATGACGAGTCAGGAATCACACTGACTTGGGTAGCAAATTCCTTTATTATGGTTGTGATGCTTACATCTCCGAAATCATTCCTCGGGTTTTCTGCGCTGTCATAGTATGGTATCACGTGCAGTGATGATATCATAGATGACGAAAAGGCCTTTTCTTGTACTTTTAACACGACATACTTTTGTGCTCAATTCTGACCCTTCCAATTAAGTAGCCGTCTCACTTCATGACTTAGTTCAGAAAGTAGCGGTAAGTCAGATCGCCCCAGACGTCACCCTTAGCCTCATCAAATCGAAGTACCCCTTATGAAGACACTTGGTCCTCAAGTTAATTTCACAGTCACGCCATGCACTGTTGTTGTCGCAAGTGAAGCATGTAAATGACTCTAAATGTTTTGTAATCATGTCTTTTATCGGGAATGTGATGTTTGAAGTTATGGTGAAACTTATTGCAAGAGACAGCAGATAGCTGGTGGAACTGAAGTGTGGTTGATAAACGCAAGGAAAGTATAATAAATGTTGTGCTTTGTTGGAATCATATAAGCAAGCGTTTGCTACGACCAATAAGATCAAAGTCGGGTTCCAGCCACTGCGCTCTGAAGTTTGGTATGCTAAGAAATTAGTGTATAGTCACTAGTAAATCTCGTATCTGCGGCTCCCTCAGTAGTAATGGCAAATTCATTCTCAACGCCACCATATCATTTTGCCAAGCTCCAAACGCTGGAAATTCAGTCGCCTGGGTTGAACCTGGTCTAGTACTTCTGCTTTGGTTCACAATCGGCGGGTTACGAGGCCTTCCAGTTTAATTTGTTGTCGCGTTGTTTTTTCGAGACTAGCACTTATGGTTGTCAGACAATTAACATTCTGCCATATTCTAAATTCTTCTCAGTTTCTTTGTTTTTCATTTCCAACGCCTAGATACATTTAAGTCCATTATTTATACTGAATTTAAGTTAATTGATTGTCAACCACGTCATTCGCCGGCGTTGTCTTGCGCATCAGTTCTGTCCCAACCGGTCCATAAAGTAGAGCCCATGATTTCGTGATCAAATGCACTTTGTTAACACTAATGGCTGTTAACCGCCTTACCGCAATCTGTCAGTCTAACACTTTTGAGCTTGTGAATGCGTGATTATTCCCCCGGCTACCCGGCTGCTCATTAAATGTTCCCATGATGCACTAATGAATATCACACGCTGTTTAGCGATCAAAGTAATCTGTGGGGTTGATTACCTAAAGAACTTTTAAGTCATTGATCTTTTACCAAGATATGTGTGCAAGCAGCAACGACCTGGTAAATTGCGAAGTTGGCAACCCCTAACTATTGTTCTTGGTCATCTTTGCCACACTTTGGAGCATGTGCTTAATAAGGCCAAGTTAGTACTTGCTACACCCACTAAACCGCTATTTGACTTATTGTCTATAAGTAGTGTATGTTGCTTCTGCTTACAGACTGGTTGCTGAATTGCTCTCGGAGTGTGGCGTCTCCTACACTCACCTTAATGCGTTGTCACCTTTTCGAAAGCGAAAGCACGTGCGTGGATCGGCGCAGCGCAACAGGGGCATTGAGTGGATCCGCAACCACCCTCTTCCATACAACGAAAAGGGCATCGTTTTCTTCGCTGATGACGACAACACTTACGACCCGCGGATATTCACGGAGGTGAGAGAATCGGCCTTTCTTAACCACGTAACCCTTTCTGTTAATAATCCTAGCAACTCGAAAAAGAATCATTTGCATGTCTCGTTGCAGAAAAACTGACTGCGGTGTCACGAAAACACACCAACCTAAGAGAATTAAACTCCTGACTTTTGCACTTTGTGATATGATATCACAGATTCATGGGGTGGTTTGACCTATTTCGCTTCAAGATTCATCATTCAAAATGGTTCTTTTATTTATACTGGGTTAATATTTTCGTCTCCGTTCAACCAATGATCGTTTTAATCATTAATTTAAAGACCCAATTCGTTTCCTAATAGAAAATGTGCTATTAACTGTAGTATGTGGCTATGAAATAAACAAAGCCTTCTGGTATATATTTCATTTTATACCAGAATGCAGTCAGTTATATAATCTTACAACAGAGCACATTGTTAGCGTTGCGCTCTTTGTTGTGTATTCGGATTATTTTGACTCTGTAATCAACAGTTGCGCCTGATAGGTCCGTTTTGCACATTTAAACCACGAGTACATCGAGTATTCATGGGCTCTCACAACGCCTCCACGTGTCATTTATTCAACTCTAGAAAGCAATTGATTTCTTTTTCTGTAATTCCCTAAGGAACAGGTTTTGGCAAACAGTCTGTTGTGTGTGAAAGTGCTGGTTAATTGAACCAAGATTAATGTCAACTATGAGACATGCCACATGATATTCTTGAGTGGTTTACTCAAACCCGGGTAAATATTCTACATGTCAGAATAGAATGTCAAGTGGTTTTAAAGTGGAAAGTTCCTTTTAAGTCATGTCGTCAACACCCTCTGTGGCCTGCACCACACAAAAGTATTGTCCGTATTTCTCTGTGCGCACTCTAAATGGTGTCTGTTAGAACTTTGTCTTGCATTACATTTGCACCAGCATGATATTTATTGTGCCTTCTTCCTGGTCACTAGTAAACACACTAAGCACTGTGACGGTGAAGTTCGCCTTCGTTTATCCAAGACCTCATGTGTGTCCAATCAACTCTACAGTCAAATGATTAACCTTGCGTGCCTGGGCTACTCTGCTTGTATGCAGTACACTAGGTAACGGCGGCTAACGGGCGTCATTATCCACGTCCAATCCTATCAGTGTGTTCATTGTTCCTTTGCGAATTTCTTCAAATAACAGCAAATGCACTCAATCGACCTCCGCACTTTCGTTATTAGTAGTAAACCCTCGAAGCTATTGATCCACACATATCTCTCATTGACATGTAACGTGCAGAGGGCGTTGTGATGACGTTGCCCCCTTGATGCATCTCCGGTTAATGTGCAAAGTCACCTGTATTTCCCCATGACGGATCGGTGAGCAGCAGTGTATCTTCGAATAATTATACGTGGGTGTATGAAAGGGAATAGCGCAATACCACTGGCTAGGGGACTAAGGAATCCTCAAAGCAAATTACTGCAAATGTGTGCTATGCCTGCGTTTGTGTGCGTTCTATTTTGACAACCTTTTTACGCTAGCAAATGAAGCATCGTAAAAAAAGGAGGTTTTAAGCTCTAAACAGACGAACGCTTACAAGAGCAGTTTCTTGAATGGATTATTCCAAAACCCAGGTGACAACTTTCAGGTCAGACGTCTGGCTGAGCCATCTGTTCTGGTTTGTCGTTGATTATGCACGAAGCACACACATTTCGGGCACCTAGTTACTGCGCGTGGATACCCGCGAAGGCTATACAGACTGGATGCGGCGGAGACACAGCCACTTACTGGAAGGCATAATTCAAATCTGTCGGCGTGTGGGTGCACTGTGACGTGGCTCCATAAACAATGGCCGCGCATTGAAAGGGGCCGGCCAGACACGCAGATTACTGGAGGGAGTGAAATTCCAGGGTGTCTGTGTGCACGCGCCGACTGAAAAGCTGGCCGTGAATTAACGCAACTCACTGCGCACGGCAGCCGGCGTGTGTTCTAAAGCAACTCGGGCCGTGCCTATGCTCGCAGGATTAATCTACTCGGATTGTTGGGCTGGTTTCCGTCCTGCACCTCAGTTCAACCCCCACAAAAGAATGGTCTATCGGACTTTTCACCTTAATTCTTTGTTGATTCGAGGCGACACCTCGAAATGCATGTTTTTGTTACCAATCGCCCGTGTTCATATTATACACTACTGGCTTTTTGGCGGCTTTAATTGTCCCCCTGACGCTGGTTTTGAGTTGCAGGCGAAATTTCCCACTGCAAAGTCCGGTCGCTTCCCCCATATTGTTTTTGTTCCTATTTTCAGGTGACCTCTGAGCTCATTACCCGTGTCTCGCATGTGGACGTGGAAAGGAGGACTATGTCACATAACTGTTTTTGTCTGTTGTACTTTTAGATGCGCTCTACTGAGCTTGGCTCCACCTGGCCAGTCGGACTCGTGGGTGGGAGTATGTGGGAGGGATGCATCACCGATCCCAACAACAGAAGCAAGATAGTCGACTTTTGGAGTGTCTGGCGGCCATATCCCCGGCGGCTGTTTCCTTTCGACATGGCTGCTTTTGCGGTTAATGCGCGTCTCTTCACCCTCTTCCCTACAGCTCGGTTCGACTACAAAAGAGCACAAGAACAGGAGGGTTATATTTTGTCCCAGTTGGGCTTCCGAAGTGCATTCGATTTGGAGCCACGGGTAAACGGATGTTCCAAAGTGAGCACTATACATTCTACTGATGAATTGTAAGTAGGTGTAGATTTTATTCCATGTTGGCTCGCACTTTCGACAACCAGGCGAGGGAATCGAGGATGTGTTGACTCACTGGCTCAATACTTGTTATATGTTTAAATCGTCCCCCTAAAATAGTTTTGATTTGGTGCAATTATTATCGCTTCTACTCGGAACACATTTACTCGAACTCATGTTAGCGTTGCGGTCTTAATTGAGCTTATTTTTTTATTTTACACGTTTTAAGCAATTACTACAGCGCAATTTTTTCCATACATAAGTTCACTTTATTACCGTTGGCATTACATTTACACAGGTGCTTGTGTGGCACACAAGGACAGAACAGCCAAGGCTGACATTCTACACGCAGTCTCACCCATCGCCTCCTGGATTCGTGTAGCAGATAGACGGCAGCATTCAGGCCTACTACTACCGCTTGATAAACGTTTACTTGATCAAGAGCGCTGTGATAGATGTCTTCAGTATTTATCCATTCCACGTTTTCACAAACCTTTTGTATGCTAACGCTACCTGACGTGTTGCTTTTCCCTAATTGCGAGTGTGTGTGTACACTCGGACGATCGCACTAAGTCGGCATTTATTTCCTCCGAAACGAAACAAAGCCAACTGTAGATGATTTCCCAACCTTACTTTTTGTTTTCTATCGTTTGCGGTGGGGAGCGAATGAGGTTACAGTGAGGGCCCAGGATGCCTTTCCCTTGTTACGCGGTCCTTGCTTGTGTTGTGGTGGTTGTACAAACAGGCGACCAACAAACTGCTGTGAAGTTAAGACCACGGCGTGTAATCGACGCAAGGCATCTAAGCTCATTCAATGCATATCACGCAACGCTAGATTGATTAAGTAAACTCAACACTGAAGACGTAAGATGGCCTATCAGTTCTCGGATAAAAGTTTCGTCTTTCGACGGATTTGGAGTTCGTGATGGAGTGCGACTCTGCACTTTGTGCTTGGCAATGAAACACAAATTGGCCATAGAAAATCCTTGTGATTTAGTAAATCGTTGAAGTTATTTTTGAACACAAACTTCCCGTCTTAACGGTGGCAAAAAGGGAATTTCCTGGGACAAAGAACAAATGGGTGGATAAAAAAAAGCTTCTTATGGTGACTTGTGGACGGGGATTAACGAGTAGAAGCGTGTCGGGTTGCACACAGCGCAGACAGGTTTTTGCCGGATTTTCGCCACCCGCTTTGTTTTCTCACTCCAAAACGGGGTTGTGGGGTAGTCAAAAGTGAGGTTACTACACAGGACTCAAAATGACGATTAGTTTAATGCATGCAACTCGCCTATCTTAAACTGTGATATTTCTAGACATTTTTAGTCTAAGCGCTGCCGTGGGCATTAATTTAAGTGCGTATCTGCACGTCTAGTTGATGGGAACTTGCGGTGAACCAAAATTTAAAAAAATGCACGTACCGTGATCTGGAGAACAAAACCACAATAAAAATTGCCAGTCACACTTTTTTAGCAAGTGCTGCCAAAATTTGGCATGCAAGATTATTAAAATAACAGCGAGCACATTTTTAAAGATATGCCTGAATGCAGAATTGTCGTTTTCCGCGATCACCTTCTGATCGCGTTTACTGATCCGAGCATTTTCCCAATTTGTGCAAATTAGGTCATTCTTGCTGCTACATTTCAGCAACACACGCAAAATAGAATTGACCTGATATATTAATGCCGATTGCTTTTCAACATATCCGAGATCCATTGGACACTGGGGCTTGCTTGTTTTTCGTGGGTGGCTGGGTGTGCAGCGGCATTATACGCATCCAAATTTCCTGATGCCCTACTTTCTCGGTGGCTGTTGAATGCAAGGTGGTATGCAAGATTATTAAAATAACAGTGAGCATTTTTGTTCAATTATGCGGTGAGTCAGCAAGTGGCTGACCTGAGACAGCCTCATCGAAGTAGTCGATGTGTAAGTGAAATACATTAGGCTGGATTATGGAGTTTTTGAGTGCTATGAGTGATTTAATTTGAGCTTTGTTTCAAGGGATTAAAGTGGAATAACACTTCGGAATATGATGCAGTTTCGACACTTAATGAAAGCCCAATCCATTGCATAGCGTTTACTCGTGACGGCATTTGCCTCCATGCGCGAAAACAATCCAGACCCGGCACTGTAATCGGTGTTTAGTCTGCGCACACGTCAGCTGCACCTACAGCAGTCTTAGCCGCCTAAATGGACAGCCGGTAGAACCCGCACACGTGTGTTTATGAACGCCGCTCTCTCGAAACCCTCTAGACCCATCAACTCGCTCTAGTTTTATTAGACGCCTAATTCTATTAGCCACACGAAACAGACCTAACCTTAGCCGGTGTTAATTTATAGGCTGTGTTGATATGTCCTTAGCGGTCAATTTCTGTGTTTGTGCTATAGAAAGTAGTATCTTTTATATAAAACCACAACCTAAAGTGATGGTAAGTGTCAGCCAACCTCATGGAGGGCGGCCATCTCAAAAAAATTTCTGAGGGAAGTGGTTAATTTAAGGACAAATTAGTCATGTCGCAAATCTCTGAAGAATCTACCAAATGCAGAAAGCTAGAACTGGGAAATTATTTCCATTTATTAGACTGCTTAGGCGTTCGAGGGATCCAAATTCTCGAGGTTAACTATGTTAGCTGTTAATAATGAATAGACTAATAACAAGGTGATTTACAAGTAATCATGATGGTAAATTATCCATGGAAATTGTCGGGCACAAGTAGGTATGAAAATTGCCAATAGAATTGTAATTTGTGATTATACCGAACTTAGCACTAATGTCCTATCACCGTAAAAACAATATGTCTTGAAGGAAACCATCAGAAAATGAACAAAGGCTCTCCAATCTATGGTCTACGCATGTGACCTCAGACGAGATATGCCAAAACGGCCCTCGAACGTCATTCTGCCTGATTATCTAACTTCAACTCAATATTTCATTGACTGTGTTGTGGATCGCGTTGATTCCCACTCGCTAATCCGATCGCTCCAGCCTCTGACACACGGTCCCCTTTTCGCAGTGTGTCGCCAGGCGCGTGGATCCTCAACTGCCCCCCATTCACACGGATATTTATCTTAGATTATCCTCACACCTAGATCCCGATGTTACCGCATGCATGACTCACATCTGAGGCATAAAAACACACGCACAAATATCGATCACGACACAACGACACCAACGTGGTTGAGCTCTGGTGTAAACGGTTGTGTCCACGTCCCTTCCGATCTTTTTCTTTATCGCGGGTCTCAGGGAAGTGGCCCCGGTATAGCTCAAGACCATATGTTGGGGCCCACAATAACTACTTCGTGCATGGTATTTTGAATGCCACTCAACTTGCAAAACGTCTCAAGACCCTTATCACGGTGCATGGGTGTGTTCTCGCAAAATTTGGCTTTTAACAAAGCTTCCGCATGTTAAAATAATCTACGGCTTGTAGTGAAGGTATATGAGCAGAGTCCTCGATGAACTGCGTAGCCGCCATCTCCATGTAGAAATCACTAGACTCAAGCTTTATTTCTAACCTGTGAATGGAAATTTTCGCATTCAATATTATTTTATCAAAAATGGCTACGTGCACTGTATTTGGTACTTCAAAAATGAGAAAGAATTAGCACCTGTTTGAGAAACATAATAGCCGGATGTAAAATTAAGCGTTGCATAAGTCAACCTAAACTCGAACCTTATTCGAAACCACAGCATTCTTTAACACGATAAAGGCTCAGTTTTGATGATGATGATGATTCCAGGTGCATTCTGTTGTAGGGACTATTCTCTTGCAAGCAAACAATTTTGGCTTTTGCTGATTCCACATGTCTTCGCAGTGAAGAACATTAAAATAACCCATAGACTAGATTTCGGACCACAATTGCATTGCGGCACCTCACTTAGTAGCGCCGAAATGTCTAAGAGTGTGTGTGCGGTAGCAGGATAGAAAAAAACGTGCATTTTACGCTTTCTTTTACTGTGCCCTAATAAAAGGCTTTTGGTCTCCATTATGACTCACAGCTTCAGCGAACCCTACGGAATGGCACGCAGTCATCAATGTGCGACGTTAATATCCTGCTTGGCCTACGTTTGAGTTTCGTTCAGATGGCGAGTGCGTAAGTGCTACGATTTCAATGCTCAAAAAATGATGCTTTTAAGAACTGGTTATTAGGTGTGCATCGTTGTAGAAGGCATCGCACTTGGACCTGCCCATTTTCACCTAAAACCCTCCACCTTTCATAACACATACTTCCCATTTGGCAAAGAATTTGGAAGTGGACCACTTACCAAAGTGCAAATCATGTATACATTTTAGGCTCTGGAGTAGCCTTAGTTCTGTTTATCATCTTTAATTAGCATTTACTTTGTAAAAAAAAGATATTTCGTGGATCACTGACTAGTTTTGTCTGACAGTCATCTACCGTTTTAAAACAGCATAAATAATGGATGCACAAATCAGGCCGCTAATACACACTTGTATTTAATTTCTACGAAAAATCTTTCATTCTTTCTTAAGTAATTTAAAATCAGACAATAGGGTGGGCTTTAAATAAGATGTCTCCCAACCTGCAACTTCTGCTCCACCTCAAGCTGGTCGCGCGATTCAGAAGATTCTATTGAAGTTGGGATGCGAGGTTCTCCCACACACGGCATGCTCACCAGACTTGGCCTCATCCGACTATCACTTATTGCGGTCAATGCAACGGCACGCCTTTGTGGGTAAACAGTTTGAAGCTCTAGACGATGCGCGTAAATTCACCGATGGTGACTTGATTGCCTTGAAACCTACAAGTTTGTTTCGCGACAACACTCGTACGTTACTTGAGAGGTGGCGCGGGGCCATTGAACAAGATGGACGATATTTCCAAAATTAAATTCGTTTTTGTCTATTTCTTATATTAAAGAAATTGCATAAAAGATATCAGTTCGCAATTTCGAATAAAAATTAATGTAGAACATTACATTAACTGAAAAAGTGATAATAAAGAGACACTAATTCAAAATCCCCACAAAATCGTTACGC